CCTTTGTTCTATTATTCCCTCTCATGCTTGACAGCGAGCTCAGGATCTCCCTCCCCAGGCCCTGCTCTTCTCTATGGTAACCCCAGGGCAGGGCAGTGGGGGTGCACCTTTGTCCAGCCCTGGTGTGCCCCCCCAGCAAGGCCAAGGCCCAGGCAGGGATAGAGCCCCCAGCCTCCCCCTGAAGCACTCTGCAGGGTTCCAAGATGGGAGGTGCCCACTGGAAGCATGCCTTGGGGAACAATTCTCCAGACTTTCAGAGGGGAGGGGTCCCAGGCTGCCTCCCAGTCCCAGTGGGCTGGGGCGGGAACACACACCTACAAGGCAGTGTCTGGAAGGCTTGGCTGGGGAGACACCATGTGTGGCATCATCTCTAGGAGCTTCAGCCTGGCATGACTTCAAAAAGGTACTGATGGAGGCACACTAAACTCCTTTCAAGAATAAATCTTGCCTCATGCGAAGCCAGAGCTGGGACGGGGAGAGAGATAGGAAGCTTAGTGGGCATGATGTAGGCTGTGGGAGCAGGTGGCCTGGTCTGAGTGCTGGCCCTGATCTGCCTGGCTCTGGGCAGCATGCATCACCTGGCCAAGCTTCAGAGACCTGCGTGCTCAAGTGGGGTGTGCAGGGCATTTGCTTGGTGGGTTGCATGGAGCAAATGAGATAGCGCAGGTAACATGCACAACCCAGTTCACCTATTAACACTGCAAATGCTTAAGAAATGGTGGCATTGACAGATAAAGCAATTGCTAACAGCAGTCTTAGCATGGGGATCAGCTGCGAGCAAGAGTGGAATCCTGGGGGCGCTCCAGGGACTGTGGGGGCTCAGAGTTGGGGAGAGGCCTCTTAAGTCTGACTTTACCAGTGGTGCAGCTACCACAGGCCGGTCCTCCAGCTTCTCCTTGCTTGGCTCTTTTGCATTCATAACCAATCCATGCTGCAGTCTGTAGGTAACAGTAACAGGTTTCACATCCACTCCCTGATTTGATCCCATAAAGCACATTTACCCCCATTTAACACACGATGAGCCTGAGGCCCTGCCCCATGCAATACTTTGCTCAAGGTGGTTTACTGTCATGGACAGCCTGCCGGCTTTCGGGTGTAGTGGGCACAGCTGGTGGCCTCCCAGGCCCTATGCAGATGGGCAGTGGCTAGGAATATGCCCCCCTCCCCAGGTGTTGGCTGTTTCTGCTGCCTGACTTACCTCGTGGTTTGGCTGTGAGCCCTTGTGCAGATGCTCCAAATTACTCAGCCCACCCCCAGGCCTCTTTTGGGTTCAGCCACTCAACAAACATTTCCCTTCACTGCCCTGCTAGCACCTGGGCCAGTTCTGAGTTCTATCCTCCAACTCCCAGCCCCAGGGACTGCCTCCCCTCCTCTCCCTGCTGCTGTCCTTCGGTCTCTGGACCCCTAGCCTGGCTGAGAGATGGCCACCTGACCAGCCCAAGACACCCCTCATTCAGACTGGGCAACTGCTGGGGATATGATAGTATCTATCTTGTTGGATTGGTGTGAAGTTTAAGTGAGATAATATGTAAAGCATTTAGCTGATTACTGAGCCTGCTACCTCTGCCCCAGCCTAAAGGACCAGCTGACCCATATTTCCCAGCTGTGTGCTGGGATCTGGGAACATGGAGATAAACCAGGTGTGACCCATGCCCTGGAGGGGCTGCCAGCCTTGAGGAGAGAGAGTGTGTTGGCTGTAAGGTGTGGTGGGAGTCCAGGGCAGGTGACAAGTTCCTGATGCTTTTGTTCCCCCCAGCCAGCCTGCCCGCAGTGAGTTTTCCAGGCTAGGAATCTGCTTTGTGATTTTAAAAGTTGGGAGTGTAGCCTGCTTCATAGAAGACCTGGGCCGTGAACATCTGGCCTGCAAGTGGCTGTCCGTTGTATCCACACCAGCACCCAGCTCCCCAGACCAGGGAAGGCCCTTCTGGGAAGGGGGAGCACCAGAAAATGCTTTGGAGGACCCTGGGACCCTGGGTGAGGTGGATTGAGTCCTGATTCATCAGCTCTGACCACTCCCCACCCCAGCCCTACTTGTATTGTAGATCCAAACCCTATCTAGAAAGTCTATATGAAATTCACAGTATACCCTGCCTTCGAAATTCTGAACTGTTGAGCCACTGCCTGCCTTTCTGCTCTGTCTCATCAGAAACCTTTTCACAGCTGGAGTGCTACCCTCTCCCCTTCAGTTGTACAGGATTTTTCCCTGATGTGAGCCTCCTTTGTAACTGGAGCCCGTTTGTGAGCAGACCTGCAGACCCTCCTGTGTGATAGAATTACATCACAGAAGGGATGACATAAAGCCAGGCACTCTTGTTAACTCTGTGTGCCTGAAAGCCCTCAGCTCTGTTCAGCTGAGTTCCTTGACGACCTGGGGCCTGTGCCCTGCACTGCTCCCTCTCTCCCACATGTCAGGCTTCGTCCATGGCTCTGGGTAAGTGGAATTTGAAGTTTCACTGCCCTGACCCCATAGGAGTAGGTTTCTGATGTCAGGATTTGCATATCCATTTGTCCATGGCCTCGTTCATTTAAAAACTGTATTCATAGGCCATGTGTGGTGGTTCATACCTGTAATCCCAGCACTTTGGGAGGCTGAGGTGGGTGGATCATGAGGTCAGGAGTTCAAGACCAGCTTGGCCAAGATGGTGAAACCCCATCTCTACTAAAAAATACAAAAATTAGCTGGACGTGGTGGCAGGCACCTGTAATCCCAGCTACTCAGGAGGCTGAGGCAGGAAAATCACTTGAACCTGGGAAGTGGATGTTACAGGGAGCCGAGATCACGCCACTGCACTCCAGCCTGGATGATGAGGCAAGACTCCGTCATCTCAAAAAAAAAAAAAAAAATTCATAAACAAAGATCGCTGAGCATCCACGTTCCCAGGCCTGATGCTGGGGCTGGTGTTAGGACCGGGAACTGAATGAGGCCTGGCTTCTAGCTCTAAGTGGATTACAGGCTTCCGAGGGTAACTGTCAAGTAGACGGTCAGCTGTGATCAGCCCCAGGATGGGATGAGGGTCAGCAGGGTCTGTGGAAAGACTGAGGAATCTTCAGGGAATCCTCTGAGGAACAATACCTGGCCTGAGCCTTGAAGGATACACAGAGATTTGATAAGTGAAGAGGAAGGAAAAGGCATACATAAAGGGTAACTTGTGCAAAGGCACCAAGGCAGATGTGCTGTGATTCCCGGTGGCTCTGTTGGAATGTAGAGTGTGTGTGGAATGTGCATGTGAGATGGGGAAGCCAAAGGAAGGGGGCCTGGCAGGAGATGAGGCTGGATGGGCTGGATCACGAAGGCGCCCTTCTATGTCATGCTAAGGAGCTTAGAGTTTATCCAGTAGCCACAGGGAGCTATTGAACGGGGTTTTAAGCAGGGGCACACCATGATCAGATTTGCGTGTTAGGAGGATCACCCTGGCAGCCTTGTGGAAGATGGATTGGAGGGGTCCAAAGCTGGAGTCGGAGAGATCAGTCAGGATTTCTTGGGATTTTCTCTGTGGTTTTACAAATCTGACGAGGCTGTCTGGGGTGGGCCTGGCAGACACATCAGCCTAGAAAATACAAGCTCTGGAGACCCTTCTGCAATGGCTTCCCAACTCAGAGTTTAATTCCAGCTTCATTTGCTGATTACTGAGTCTGCTGCCTCTTCCCCAGCCTAAAGGACCAGCCAACCCATATTTCCAGATATCTGCCCTCCCCAAGGGCCTCAGAACCTGGCGGCCCTCACCATTTAATCAGAGAGGGTCATGCCTGTCTGGGCCCCTTTGCGTCTTCATCCCAAGCCTCCAAGCTTTCTGGGGGCCTGGAATGCCAGCTCAAACATTGTCCTTCCTCTCACACCCGCTGTCTGTCTCTGATGCACAGAGCAGCCATTGAGTGGCTGCAGAGGCCTGGCGAGGGGCCCGGGCCAAGTTAGTTATGGGCAGTGGCTTAGTCACGCTTCTAGGGGCCTTTTCTTTGGGATAAGCCTGTCCTTGTGTTAAGGGCTTCACTCACACAGCAGCCCAGCTCGTGGCAGCTGCAAAACCCTCTGCCAACCCTAACAGCGCACTTCAGAGGCACCGCCAATGGGAACCAAAGCCCAGAGTGACAGCTGAGTCCTGGGGAGCGGAGGGACCCAGGGAAGGCAGATCAGAGAGCCTTCCGCCTTCTCTGCTCTGGGTGCTCAGCCTCTGTTTGCAGGTGCATGGCTCAGGCGCTACCCTGGTCCTTTGATTCTGGCCTCTGGAGTCCAGGAGGTCTGGGAAGGGTACACAAGCCCCTCCCTCCCCCAGGGCCACACCCTGTGTGAAAGTCAATGACCAGCCTCTGCAGAAGCTCCTTCCAACCCAGGCTTGCAGTTCCAGTGTACTCCTGGGAGTCAGCCGATTACGTGCATATATTAAGCATCTGCAGCATACTCCTGCCTGGGCTAGGTGCATTTGTATGTGGCAGTGTCTCATTGCAGGCTGGGCCATGTCGTCATTGAGAGTATAGGCTCTGAACTCAGACTCTTCAAAACCTTGGCTCTCCTGTTTACCAACTGTGTTGCTTTGGGAAAACTAATTTGCCTTCTTTTGCCACAGTTTCCTCATCTGTGAAATGAGGATATGATAGTCTCTACCTTGTTGGATTGGTGTGAGGATTAAGTGAGATAATATGAAAAGCATTTAGCTGAGTGCTTGACACACTGGAAATGCTGAGGAAAGAGCTTCTGCTGCTGTTCCTCCTCCCCCTTATTGCTATTGCTGTGATCACCAAGTTCTCATTACTCCTCAAGGGGAGAGCTGTTATCCCCATTTTACAGATGGGGAAGCTGAGGCTCAGCAAGGTTAAGCAACCTAACGAGGGTCACACAGCTGGCCAGTGGCAGAGCTGGGATTCAAACCTGGCTTTGTCCAGTGCTTCTGCACCACAGCTGGTCCCTTGGATAAAGCACACACAGGGTGAGGGTGTCCCAGCCTGGGAGAGCCGGGTAGTGGACCCGCCTGTTTCACCTCAGTGCTCTTTCTCCACCTTTCCAGATTTCTGCACCAGGAGATGGGGGTCGGTAGAAGCCCGGGATGGAGATGTCCTTGACACCTGGGCAGAGGCTGCAGCTGCAGCTGCAGGACCCTGTGGCCACTGGAGATAACTGATGGTGCCATTTGAACACCTGCTGGAAACGGGGCAGGAATAGTGAGTGACCCCAGGAGATCACAGGCAGGTGCCAGGAGCCAGGATGCAAGGATGACTCCACCGGAGGCCCTGGCCTCCCTCCCGCCTGGGCGCTAGGAGCCATTGGGGGGCTCCAGCCAGGAGCCCTGCCTCCCAGGGGCATGGCCAAACCTTTCTTCCGACTCCAGAAGTTTCTCCGCCGAACACAGTTCCTGCTGTTTTTCCTCACAGCTGCCTACCTGATGACCGGCAGCCTGCTGCTGCTGCAGCGGGCCCGAGTGGGCCTCCCACAGGGCCCCCGGGCGCCTGGCCCCCTGCAAACCTTGCCCGTGGCCGCTGTGGCACTGGGTGTCGGCTTGCTGGACAGCAGAGCCCTGCATGACCCTCGAGTCAGCCCAGAGCTGCTGCTGGGTGTGGACATGCTGCGGAGCCCCCTAACCCGGCCCCGGCCCGGCCCCCGCTGGCTGCGGAGCCGCAACTCAGAGCTGCGTCAGCTGCATCATCGCCGCTGGTTCCACCACTTCATGAGTGACTCCCAGGGACCGCCCGCCCTGGGCCTTGAGGCTCCCAGGCCTGCCATCCACAGCCGAGGTAGGCGCTCAGCTGCATTTGGGGGAGCTGCTTTCAGGACCCCTATTCGGAGCGACAGGTTTGGTAGCCCCTTTCTCTTTCTGGCCATGTAGCAGCTGGAGAAGTAGGCACCACAGGCCCACGGCCTTCACTGCTAGATGGTTCTTTCCTTCTGCTCTGCAGGACAGGAAGGGGCCTGTTCAGGGTTTTGCTCATTCACCAGCTGGAATTCCACATGACTCAAGGCTCAGATGTTGTGAGCAGGTCACTTAGAGCTCCAACTTTGGGTTCAGACAGACTTTGGCTGGAATCCTGGCCAACATTTGTTTTTTTTATTCTCAGAGAATCTAGTAGGAAAGTGTCATTGAAAACGTGAAAATAGGCCAGGCGCAGCGGCTCACACCTGTAATCTCAGCACTTTGGGAGGCCTAGGCGGGCAGATCACTTGAGGTCAGGAGTTTGGGATTAGCCTGGCTAACATGGTAAAACCCTGCCTCTACTAAAAATACAAAAATTAGCCAGGTGTGGTGGTGCATACCTGTAATCTCACTGGCATCTGGAAAGCGGAGGCTGCCGTGAGCCAAGATTGTGCCACTGCACTCCAGCCTGGGCAACAGGAGACTCCGTTTTAAAAAAAAAAAAAAAAAAAAAGAACATGTCACTTGATGTCCCCAGGTCTGTCTGAAATGGAGCTAAAGACACCACTCCAGGGCTATTGTGAGGAGTGAGTGTCATAACACAGAGCAATGGGTCACAAAGTGGGGCCTCTGACCAGAAGCGTCACCTCTCCCTGGGATTTTGTCACAAGTGCAAATTTGGGCAAATTTTTGAATTTTTAGTTGAGACAGGGTTTCACCATGTTGGTCAGGCTGGTCTCGAACTCCTGACCTCACAATCCGCCCGCCTCAACCTCCCAAAGTGTTGGGATTACAGGTATGAGCCACTGCGCCCGACTTCTGTGCAGGTTTTATCAGTGTAACTTATTTAGACTAGAGTGTATATGACTGGCAGAAGTCAGAATTTCTTGAAAGGAAGCCATGTGAAATGCTCACGTTTTGAAAATAGACCTGGGGATTGCCACTGACTGGGCCTGTAACCCTGGGCATAGTGGGCTCCATTCCTCTCTTCATTGCTTTCATCCCCCACACACTGATGATCCACCACATGAGTCTTCATGTGTGCATTTCACTGTGCCCTTGAGGAGCTCAGTCTGGCGGTGCAGTCAGATATGCACCCAAATAATTTCTACAAAGCACGGCCAAGGTATGCTAGAGGTATGTGCCAAGGGCCTGTGGACTCAGACAGAAGTGACCTTTATAACAGACCAGCAGCCTCCCAAAATGCTGGGATTATAGGCGTGAACCACCATGCCCAGCTGAGGTAGGCGAATCACCTGAGGCCAGGAGTTTGAGACCAGCCTGGCCAACATGGTGGAATCCTGTCTCTACTAAAAATATATAAAAAATTAGCCAGGCATGGTGGCAGGCGCTTGTAATTACAGCTACTTGGGAGGCTGAGGCAGGATAATTGCTTGAACCTGGGAGGCGGAGGTTGCAGCGAGCTGAGATCGTGCCATTGCACTTCAGCCTGGGTGACAGAGAAAGACCCTGTCTCAAAATAATAATAATAATAGAACTGACAAGCAGAGGGGAGGGCTCAGCCCTGAATAGAGAGTGTGTATGTCTCAGGGAACCAGTGAGGACCCTTTTACTTTAAGTTACCCCTAATGACTTACAGAAGCGTTGGAAGGGGATCCAGTAAAAGCTAGAGAGATTGTGGCTAGATAGAAGCAAGACTGATATTCAACTTTATATGTCCGTGTGGTCTTAGCAGTTGCTAAAATAATTGCAATACTTCCAGGTTGGTTGGAGATGGTTCCTGCCCTGGGCTGCTGGGGTGCCCTCTACACTCTGCCTGCCTCCCCAGTGGCCCCCAAACCTCCTCCTTATCCAGCAAAGAGAGGGTTAATATGCTTCTAGTGCCAAATGGTGGCAAATATGAATGGTCAGCGCCCTCCATGGGTTGTCAAATATTGTGAATATACCCCAGGATTTAAGGAAGGATTTGCTCTCCTTTGAACAGTGTAAGAACCAAGTCTGGGGAGGCCGTGCTGTCTCATGGCTGGAGATCATCAGGGAATGGGGAAGGCAGGGTGCTGGCCTGTAAAGCCCTCTGGGTCCCCTTCCTGTCGTGGGGCTCTGTAGGCCCTGCACAGCCAGCCCTCCGGACAGCTGCTGGGGCCGCAAACAAAGCGGGCGTCTCTTTGTGGCCCGGGCAGCCCGCCATCCTCCTGAAAGGGGATCCTGCAAGGCGTGGAAGCTGCAGGAGGCTCCATCAATCACTGAGCATTTCATTATACCTTGGACAACATCCATAATGGAATAAAATGTCAGTAAGTTTACTAGGGGAAAAATAGTAACTTCTCCATAGCCAGTTTGTTTTTTATTGATAGTAATTTCCAAAGACATTCCAATATCTTCAAAGCCATCGTTAATAGCCTCACGGCATGTCCATTTTGATGTGCAAATGAACAGATGCAGAGTCACAGACAATAATGCAATGCCTCCATTTCAGCCGAAAGTAATAAATCCGCCTCAGAATGGGTCCCAGTGTATTCCTTGGAAGTTCTTTCTTTCCTGCACATTCTCGCCTCTGTCAGGGAGTTAGAAAAGCTGTTCATTCTGCGTCCAGATAAAAGAGCTGCCTCCTCCTCACAAACAGAGGGGCCATCTGTGTCTCGGGCCCTTGCTGCACACTGAGACGGGGCCGGCCAGGCCCGGGCTCACTCTCCACACGGTGAGCTCCATCAGGTGACCAGCTGGTCTCAGATTGGCCACTTCTTATTTCCAGAACTGGAGCCTGACTGCTTGCAACCATTTTTTTCCCTCTCTTTTATTAACGTGTTAATTATTCAGCTAATATTTACTGATCCATCCATCTCACGTCCCAGGTTAGAGGGTAGGATCAGAATAATAATGGCTGTTACTTATTTGAACATCTGTTACGTGCCAAGCATTGTTCTGTATAGACATACATCTGTTATCTCATGTAATTTAATCTTCAAACAGCCTTATGATATAAGTGGCACTATCATTGTTTTAATGATGAAGAATTTGAGTTTTGGAGAAGAAGAGTAATTTAAATATTTTCATTATTAATAACAATATATTAACAGTAAAAACAGTTGCTGCTGAGTAATTACTGCATGTCAAGCCTTGTATTAAACATTTTACATGTGTTACCTTATGGAATTTTCACAACTACCCCATGGAATTGGCACCATAGCCCCATTTTATAGATGTGGAAGTTGAGGCTCAGAGAGCAGCAGCTGCATATCCCAGGTGGCACAGCCAGATAGTGGTGGAGCTATTTCCAAAGGCTTTTTCCATCCACTTCCCCAGAAGCACATAGAGCCTGGGAAGCACATACAACCACGTGCAGCCTCAGCCTGGGAAGGTCTTGAGCCCAAGACCTTTTCAAGCCCAAGGTCTTGAAAACCTTGTGGTTAATTTCCCATCTACAGTGATAAATGTTTAATAATCCTGAGCCTATGGTTTGGCTGTTTAATTGAAAGCTGAAATGGAACTTTTTTGCTGAGCAACCCATCCGAAATTTCTCAAATATTAGTTTTCTTTTACTAAGTAGGCAGGCAGAGGAGAAGGATCCATTCTCGCTGAGCTGGGTGAAATCTCTGTGCAGTGGTCCACGCTGGTGGTGGTGGACTGAGCCTTACCAAAGGAGAGAGATGCACATGGGGCTGGATGTCTGGGCAGCAGTCCTCAGGGGAGGATGGTAGCATGTGCCTGTGGGCATAGCCACATGTGCTGAGGAGCATCCCCAGATGAAGCTGACATCAAGAGGCTCAGAACCTGGCAGGGAGCCAGACCATTTGGCAAACGTTGGTGAAGATGGCCATTGTTCCCTTCTCAGCCCTGGGGTTCTCTGGTCTGAGGGTCTCCTGGGTGCTTTGGGTCTTGGTGTGGTGGGGAGTCCAGTCTCCTGCCATCTTGCTTCTTCTCTGCTTTGCCTTAACATAGGGCCCTGGATGTTGCATCTTGGTGTAGTCAGTAAAACTGTCCTTGCCTTCATATGTGTGTGTGTGTGTATGTGTGTGTGTGTGTACAGACATATATATGTGGTATATACATATTTTGTTTTTCTGACAGAGTCTTGCTCTGTCACCCAGGCTAAAGTGCAGTGACACAATCCTGGCTTACTGCAAACTCCACCTCCCAGGTTCAAGTGATCCTCCTGCCTCAGCCTCCTGAGTAGCTGGGATTACAGGCATGCATCACCACACCCAGCTAATTATTTGTATTTTTTTTAATTTTTATTTTTAGTAGTTTAGTAGAGGTGGGGTTTCACCACGTTGGCCAGGCCGATCTCGAACTTCTGACCTCAAGTGATCCACCTGCCTCAGCCTTGCAAAGTGCTGGGATTACAGGCGTGAGCCACCTCTCCAGCCCCCGCCTTTATATTTAGGATCTCTGCTAAATATATACCTTTGCACCCTCCAGGCATGTCTGTATGGTTTTTAGGAGCTGGAACCCACTGTTCACAGTCAGGTGTGGGCGTCGACATTGTGCCTATCCCTGGTGAGTCACCAGGTGGGTCTCCAGCTCTGGTGAAGGTGTGATTCCTGCCCTCTAGGAGCCTTAAGTCATGTTGCAGAGATGGGATGCACAGGTATGAGATATATATATATATATAATTTTTTTTTTAGATAGAATCTCACTCTGTCTCCCAGGCTAGAGTGCAGTGGTGCAATCTCAGCTCACTGTAACCTCCACCTCCCAGGCTCAAGCAATTCTCCTGCCTCAGCCTCCCTGGTAGCTGGGACTATAGGCACATGCCACCATGCCCGGCTAATTTTTGTATTTTTAATAGAAACCAGTTTTACCATGTTGGCTAGGCTGGTCTCGAACTCCCAACCTCAGGTGATCCACCCGCTTTGGCCTCCCAAAGTGCTGGGATTACAGGCATGAGCCACTGTACCTGACCAGGTATAAAAGATTTTTGACTCCAACAGCTAATGGCAAGGGTTTAGATGATGGGCAAGGTTTTCAGGCACAGCATATAAAAACTCAGAGAAGCGGGGAGGCCATTGTGTGCTGGTACAGTCAGGGTCAGAGAGCTAAGCCCCGAGGACAGCAGGAAGCAAAGGGTGGGTAGGAGGGATGAGCAGTGACAGGCCCAAACCCGGGGGCAGGAGAGATGAGCTTGAGCAAGGGGAGGCGATGCAGGTGGGCATGTATCTGCTCAACAGGTGAGGAAACTGTGGCACAGAAAGTTGAGGCGATTTAGTGAGGGCAGAGGTAGAATTAAATGTGGCATTTACTGTCAGAAAAGTCACTCCCCGATTGGGTCCCAAAAGTGGATGGTTGGTAGGCTCCCTCCCCCAGGGCACTCAGTGGTGACCCCTAGCCACTGCCTGGACCAGGTTCTTGGCTGGAACAGTGACGGTGTCCCCTGTCCTCACGGGGCACCCAGGACTGTGGACCATCAGGACTTTTCTCCTCACTGAAAAGCTGCTTGGGAGCTGCTGGCAGGCGTCTGGGAGGTCTTAGGCGTGTTACTTTCCAGAGACAGCCTCATTTCTCTGGAGGCAGCCGTGCGCTCCTCAGGTGACAGGAATGAGCAGAACGCAGTAGTTCCTGGGGAGATGTGTGTCGTCTTTATCACAGGTGCCCGATCCAGATCTCGGCACAGCGATTGTGGGTGTGCGTTCACAGCTTGGGGACTGCGTGACGGTGTGTTTGCAAATTCCCATGCCGCTCCTTCAAAACACTGGTACGCGTGACATTTACATGCCTACCTGCATTTGCATTGGGACTGCCATCTCCGAGCTTCTCTGTGCATCTCTGGGCGATGTCTCCCTCCCTCAGGGTGATAGGGCAGGGCTGTGACAGACTCCCATTGGCGCATGCATGGGTGGCCTCTCACTGCCACTGAGGCATGAGGGTCCCCGGCGTCCCCTTCCAGGGATGTGTGCAGGTGACCAGCCTGGAGAGGCCTCTGCAGTCATGTGGCCCTGTTGTTTCCCACACAAGTCACTGTCTTCCCACTCTAACAGACTCTGCAGGCACTCTCCAGAGATGGGGCCTTGCTCTGTCTTGGGACGACAGATTTTACCTTGAGATAGCTCTCCTCGTTTGAAAGATCTTCCTTAAATTCACTAAAATCAAACTTGCCCTAAGTAATGTCTTCTCTCTGGCCCACAAGGAGGCAACAACCCTGTCTCTTAGGGCATTTGCAGAGGTAGAGAGGCCTCTCTGAGAATAGGGAGGGCAGGGCGGGCGAGGAGTTGGTGAGAGGACATCCGGCCATCTGGACTTACGAGTATGGGGCAGTGGTCAGGCGGATGCCAGGCTCCTGGCGGCAGAGCTGTCTGGGTAGACAGTGGGCCATTAAGAGAAAATGGGCAGGAAACAAACAAGAGGGAAGTGTCAGATGCCCACTTGGCTCAGCACTTAGGGGGAGGTTGCATGCAGCACTCACTCCACGGGTTTCTCTGAGAGTAGCCTTGGCCAGGAAGGGAGAGATTCCCTTGGCTTTTCCTAAGGGTGGGCCCATGATCCCTCGGCCTCCGGTCTCAGCCATGCTTCCTTCCTGCAGGCACCTACATTGGATGCTTCAGTGATGATGGCCACGAGAGGACTCTGAAGGGGGCTGTGTTTTATGACTTGAGAAAGATGACTGTCTCCCACTGCCAGGATGCATGTGCCGAGCGGTGAGTGCTAGGGGACTGCTGATTCTAGTGGGAGGAAGGTCCAGGGACAGTCCCAGAATGAGGAGGCATATCAGCTGCCAGTTGGCTGTCATAGCATAATTAGAACTCATTGATAAGCTCCCAGATGTCCAGAAGAAAGAAAGTTTGTTGGCAGGTGGCCTGGGTGCTGGGAGCTGGGTGCTGGGTGATGGCCTGGGGGCCAGGAGCTGGGTGATGACCTTGGTGCTGGGAGCTGGGTGATGACCTGGGTGCTAGGAGCTGGGTGATGACCTGGGTGCTGGGAGCCTGGGTGCTGGGAGCTGGGTGCTGGGTGATGACTGGGGTGCTAGGAGCCTAGGTGCTGGGATCTGGGTGCAGGGAGACATGGCTTCTGGTCCAGCCATAGCAGGGACTCAGTGTGTGAGTTTGGTGAGTTCTTTTCCTTCCCTGGGCCTCAGTTTACTTATGTTTTTACAATAAGATAAAAGGCTTTAACTGAGATTTCTCTGGGGGGATCTTTCCAGCTTTGGTAGGGAAAGTATTTTCATTTCGTGTTTATAACAGGGTTTACTTTTTCTGATTCTTTCAGCTCACTCAGTAGTTGCTAGACCCTTGTCATGTGCCAGAGGAATTGTCCCTAATGTCAAGGCCCAAAGGCTCACACATTGACGCGTGTGTGTGTGTGTGTGTGTATGTGTGTGTGTGCTCTTGCACACGTGCATGTGAGAGAGGTGGGTTAAACAGAATCAGACTTCACTCTTCATTTATTTTTCCCACACTCCTTTCACCTTTGTTATGTATGTCATGTAAATTCTTCCCACAGTCAGTTAGGTAGCAATGAGTTATCCCTGTTTTACAGAGGGAGAAACTGAGGCTGGAGAAAGAAAAGACAAGGTCCTTACGTAAACATACGTTATAGTCTAGATGAAGTGGAAACAGGATGATATATTGTCTTTTTAGTCTCCTAATAGATTGGGAAACTGAGACTTAGAGACGGCAAGTGACGTGCAGGGTCTCACCACCAGGACATGGTCAAATGGGGACTTGAAGCTTGTGTTTGGATTTTCAATCTAGGCTTTTACATCTAGATCCACTGATTAGAAAGTGTTGACTGCTTTCTGCAGTTGAAGTCCTGTGTGATGCATTGTGGGTGCCATTTCCAATCTTTCTCTACCTATGGTATTACCAGTGGGTAAAAGTAAGCAGAGAAATGGCTGTGGAGATGGGGACTGTGCGATAGGGCCCACGTGTAACAAGATGCGACGTGTGGGCTGGGCGCAGTGGCTCACACCTCTAATCCCAGCACCTTGGGAGGCCTAGGTGGGTGGATCACAAGGTCTGAAAATCGAGACCCTCCTGGCCAACATGGTGAAACCCTGTCTCTACTAAAGCAAAAAATAAAAATAAAAATAAAAAAAATTTAGCCAGGCATGGTGGTATGCACCTATAGTCCCAACTACTCTGGAGGGTGAGACAGGGGAATTGCTTGAACCTGGGAGGCAGAGGTTGCAGTGAGCCGAGATTGTGCCACTGCACTCCAGCCTGGCGTCAGAGTGAGATTCCATCTCAAAAGAAAAAAAAAAGAACAAGATATGACATGTGGTAGTCACTTCAGACCAGCTCATGGCCGCTGACGAGGATAAACTTAAATCTTTAGAGTTGTGAGCCCATTATAAAATCATTTAGCTTAAAATCTTCTATAGTGGGAGTGTTTACACCACAGAAGTTGGCAAACATTACAAACCAGAGCTCTCCCTGTCCCATATTGAGAACCAGTTTACGGGCACACCACAGATGTAGATCCATTATAACCTGTAACCGCAGTACCCTGCAGGGCAGAGCTCAGGTCTGGCAAGAGGGGCTGGTTCCATTCGTTTATCACAAAGGAAAGACTGGTCCCTGAACTTAGCCAGATGGCCCTTGAGTCTGGCTTCAAGTCCAAACTCAGCTTCAAGTCCAGTTCATATCCCGACTCCAGACCCAATTGCCATTGCTTGACCCACATAAATCCTCTCCACAGTCAGCTAGGTAGCAATGAGTTATCCCCATTTTACAGGTGGAGAAAGAAAAGACAAGGTTCTTACTTAAACATACTTTACACTCTAGATAAAGCTGAGACAGTCTGCAGTTTAGACCCCAGCCCTAGCTCTGGGCCAAGGTCTGGACTTACCCAGGCCCTGTCTCCCTGCAGGTCCTATGTCTACGCTGGCTTGGAGGCCGGGGTGGAGTGCTACTGTGGGAACCGGCTACCAGCGATGAGCGCCAGGCTGGAGGAGTGTAACCATGAGTGCAAAGGCGAGAAGGGCTCTGTGTGCGGTGGTGTGGACCGCCTCTCCGTGTACCGTGTGGATGAGCTGCAGCCGGGCTCCAGGAAGCGTGAGTGTGCCAGCCTCTCCCTGAACTCTGTCTGTCCCACTCGCTCCGTTTGCCTGTCCCCCACACCCTTCATCCAAAATACCTGGGGCAGAACCTGTGGCAAACTCTGCCCTCTCTTCCCTGTTGGCATCACTGGACAATCTCCTGACAGGGTGGGGACAGGTCCATCAAAGGCTTAATTACTTGAGTTTGTGACCAAGACACACCTTTGCTTGTCCCCTGAAGGAGAGAGAAACTGATGAGGAGGACTGGGTATGCCTCATCCTTGCTGTGTGGCCTCCAGCAGCTCACTGCCCCTCTCTGAGCCACAGTCTATTTTGTAAACTGCAGAGGGAGACCTAGATTTCTTTTTTCTTTTCTTTTCTTTTCTTTTCTCTTTTCTTTTCCCTTCCTTTCCCTTTTCCCTTTTCCCTTTTTCCTTTTTCCTTTCCTTTCCTTTCTCCTTTCCTTTCCTTTCCTTTCCTTTCCTTTCCTTTCCTTTCCTTTCCTTTCCTTTCCTTTCCTTTCCTTTCCTTTCCTTTCTCCTTTCTCCTTTCTCCTTTCTCCTTTCTCCTTTCTCCTCTCCTTTCTCCTTTCTCCTTTCTCCTCTTTCCTTTCCTTGATGGAGTCTCACCCTGTCACTCAGGCTGGAGTGCAGTGGTGCAATCTCATCTCACTTGCAACCCCCACCTCTTGGGTTCAAGCGATTCTCCTGCCTCAGCCTCCAGAGGAGCTGGGATTACAGGTGCATGCTGCCATACCAAGCTAATATTTTTTGTATTTTTAGTCGAGACAAGGATTCACCATGTTGGCTAGGCTGGTCTCGAACTCCTGACCTCAAGTAATCCACCTGTCTTGGCCTCCCAGAGTTCTGGGATTACAGACGTGAGCCACTGCTCCCAGCTGGGAGACCTAGCATTCTAGCAATGGTGTGGGCCAGATCATTGGAAAATTCTTTAACTATAAGGCACCTAGATATGCTGCATAAGATTTAACAAGCATTATTCTAAAAGCATAGCTGAACTAGCAGGAAAGTAAGGCAATCCCTTGGATCCAGAAATGAAGAAACAACAAAGGCCCTCGGTGGAAAGAGTTAGAAAAATGCTGTGTGGCCCTGGGGCTCAGTGGAGGGAAGTTGCTGGGCTGGGTGGCCGCTCCGTTTCGGTCTGAATGTCCAAGGAGGATGCAGAAGCAGAACTCAGGCTTCGCAGGGAAAGGAATTGGATTGAAACTTCTGTATACAGTGGGATTCAATTTCACTGAAATGTTAATCAGTGAAAGTTTAGATTAAAAAAAAAAAATATCTCCCACCCATTCAGAGAGCTGGAACAAAGCGTGTCTGTTCTGACCTGAGCTTCAGGCGAAGACAAAAATCCTCCTAAGAATTTATAACCACAGGCCTGCATTTGTATGCGTTTGGGGGTTCCAGTTTATATGATCTGCCTGAAAGTTTCAACGTAAAAGTTAGCTCTGGGCCATCTGGAGGGCCTGGCGGAGGCAAATGCACTGTCCCCTTGAGAACTGTGCTACCAGCCCAGGCGTAGGGGTGCCCAGAGGGGAATTCTCACTGAGTGCTCAGCTTGCAGTTCAAGGTGATAGAACTCAGGCAGAAACAATCAACCAAGCTGACACGTCAGGCAGCAAGACTGGACTCCCAGGAATGTCAGTGCAAAGGACTGTCAGATAGATAGGGGCCGGAAGGTGCCCGCTCACAGGAGGAGTTAGAAACTCAGGTGTGTCTGCATTGCAAGACGATGAGCACAAATCCACTTACTCTCATCACAGAAGGCTCTTTTATAAAATAATAGAGTTGTGCACTGTTGCACATGCTGGGGGCCCTTCTTTTCATGGTTGGGAGAGGCAGGTTGGGAAGGAGTCAGAGCCTGGGAGACCACCCCCACCACTGGCAAGGGTGGGGCGGCGGTGATGGAGGCAGAGGCTCAGCCCAGCATCCAGGCTCACCGGCTCATGACATGACTGCTTCTGGTCATGCCCTAGTAACGGGGCTCCAGGATAACTGACAGATTAGTTCGAGAAAGGGGCAGAGCCCGGGTAAAGAGGTATCGGATCAAAGCTAAGGCTTTACAGGGGCTCTGGGAAACTCAGTGAGTTTTCCAAGCAGCACAGAAGCCCAGCCCTGAAAACCGTGGGTAAGCCTAAAGACCACCCTGCTGGCCACTATCTGTGGGGTCACAGTGCTATGGAGAGCTGTTCTGGGTTTGGCCCCAGCTAACCAGGGCTTCTTGGGTACATCTTACATTCAGACAGGATGTGTCTGGGAGCCCAGGGGTCCAGATGGGGGAATGGGGACAGGGGCAGAGAAACTGACAACACACTGTTTAGCTTATGGGTTCACTAGTCACACCATTAACTCAACAGTTTCTCATCAACACCTTCCCTGCCAGGCCCTGACCTGGCGAAGGGTTTTGCCACAGCACATGGGCAGAGTCCTGTCCTGTCACCTGGACATCCAAATGGACTTCCTGAGGACCAAACTGCTCCATGCTGGCTTCTTGGAGCTTTTATTTCTTTGGTTTCAAACAACATTCCTGCCCCCAAGTAGGACCAATCCTATATGTGGACTCTGGGCTGCCCTCTCAGTCCCGTCTGCCTGCTTGGTGATTGATTCTGAGAGGCAGTTGTTTTTGCTTCAGGCTGCCCATGGATTAAGAGACAGTGGTCCCATCATTCAAGCCAGTCCTAGATCCTGAGTTGGCTGGACTTGCTGTCATGGTTGGCCTTGAAGATGGTGTCCTAGCTGCCCTTTTGGGCAGGCTGCGGAGCACCCTGTAAGGTACCCTTGCCTTCCTGCTCCCTTCTTGAGGGGATGAGCTGACAGGATCTCTGTCAAGAGGTAACCAGGTAACCACCACTGTGAGCTGCAGCTTCTGCCAGCACGGAGCATTCACAAAGAGGAAGACCCAAGAATGTGCTCCCCAGGTTGGAATCTGAGTGGGTTCTAAGCAAGTCATCAATGTCCTTGCCTTGGAGGCATCATTCTGCCCCAAATGGCCCTGAGGCTCTCACCTGGGGAGCAAGGGAGAATAGGCTGCACCAGGTGACAGCCTGTGTCCTGAGAATAGACTGCACCAGGTGGTGTGTCCTGAGAGGCGCATCAGTGAAGTCTAGAGACAGCCAATGCTTCCTTCTTGAGCAGCTCATGAATCGGTCACCTGTTGCAGTATACGCAGTGTCTTCCTTCCTGCTTTATCTAGTTTGGTTCATTCATTTGTTCAACATGTAGTGGGTGCCTGCTGTGTGTCAGGATCAGGGCTGGGTGTAGGGAACACAGCGGTAACCTAGGATGTAGCCTCCCCACCAAAGAGCTGTGTTCTGGAGGCCGCGTGGCCCCCTGCTGTCCTCCCTGTGGGCTGGGGCTCACTGAAAGCTTGATCCCTCCCCTCTCCCTGGATGGTGCCTGCCCTGATGACTCTCCCCATTGTTTGTTCTACCCCCATGGAACTGGCTGAGGACTGGTGCCCAGTCCATTGAAATATTTATTTTTTGGGGGTCCAGTCATGCCAAAGAAGAGGAAAGAGTTTTGTGAGCCCAGCATCTGCCACCACCCTTGACCTTGACACCAAAAGCCAGGGCAGACACATGGTAGTGGGGGGTTGTAGCCCCATCAGGGGATATGCGTGGGTATTGCTCCTCATGACAACCCTAGGAGCTATGCTGTATGTAGGTGATGAAATTGAGAGGCTTAGAGCCCATGACATGGCAGAGTTACACGGCTAGTCACTGGCAGTGCAAGGACTTGAACCTAGGCACTTAAGACCCTAAGCCCTGATGTTGACACCATAGTCACCTAGATACCGCTAGGCTGGTGTCTATGCCCTAGTGGGTTGTGCCCTGACACGTGGACCACAAGTGCTGTGGTCAATTAAGATGGGCTTCCAGATCCAGACTTTGGTCCTGCTTGGCAGATTCCAGCAGTGAGAGGGTTTCTGCTTGCCCTGAGTGTTGTAGCAGCTAGAGAGCGGGGGAAGATGCTGAGCCCTGGGGACCTCCTGTGAAAAGAAACATGGGGTAAGAATCAGGATGTCATCTAGAGAAACTCTGATGCATCTGGAAGAAATACAAGCAGTTGGTGCAAGAACATGCCAGAAAGTTTGTTCAGCTCCAAGAAAGCCAGCGAGGACCCTGGGCTTTTCCACCTAGAGGTTCCAGAGAGCAGCAGGAGGCTTGGCAGGAGGCGTCTTTGCGACATGGGCTTGAGAAGTGTTCCTAGAAATTGAGTGGGAGTTCAAGATCAGAGAGAGACAAACTTTGCAAAGAAGCAGAGTGGTGGTATGACTCCAGTGGCACAGCAAGAACAGACGTGGCTGAGTTTCAGATTTCCATGACTGCTTTTCTTCTTATGCATCTTCTGGGAGGACATCAGATGTTTCACAATATCGGCCTCTCAGATCGCCTGCTGTGGAAGGAATCTGGCACCTAGTAAATGCACCATCCAAATTCATTGAAGGAAGTGAGGGAGCAAGAAGGAAGGACTGAAGGCAGGTAGGCAGGAAGGAAGGATGCTGTTATGGAGAACTGGCAGAAACGAGAGCTGAGCACTGCAGTTTCAGCCAAGTGGTCTCTTACAGGTGACCCTGGGGTCGTCAAGGTCCTGATGCCTGGTTTCTCTCAGGAGCTCAGCGTGACCACACCCCACCCAGGGCAGTTTTTCCTCCCTGATTTGAAATCTGCGCCTCCGGAGTTTTATACCTGTCTCAGGACCTAAAGCCAGCATTTTTTCTGGTGACAGGCACCAACAACTGGGCACCATCTCTTACCAGAAACCCCTCTCTTTCCCCGCAGGGCGGACCGCCACCTACCGCGGGTGCTTCCGACTGCCAGAGAACATCACACACTCCTTCCCCAGCTCCCTGATACACGCCAATGTGACCGTGGAGACTTGCTCAGGCTTCTGTTCCCAGAAAGTAAGACTAAATGTTAATTTCACAACCCTTTCCTTTAAGTGTGTGTGGTGGTCCCAAGAGAGAGGGGCACCTGTGCTGGGCTGAGGGTGTCCACTGTGGCAGTCCAGGTGGGAGCAGAGGATGGGGGCATGGGAGGGATGCACACGTGCAGGCATGCATGGTGTGTCTGAGGGTATCGGCAGGGAACCCTTCGCCTCCATCCACCTTGTGAGGCTGGGAGGGGAATTTTCAGCAAGGTTTATAAAGCCGAAAGGAGAGTGCCTTTCTGGATGCGAACTCTTGGCACAAGTGTCAGATGTTAAATTGACTTGGTTTGGAAGCCAGAAGATGCTGGCTTAGGACTTAGGGATAGCTGATGGATTTTCTGTTATTGGTGCTGACAGTGTTGAGCCGTGAATCTGACGACAGGGGCTGTAACCACACTTGCACCTTTGGTTCAGCCTGAGCTAAGGAGTAGGGTGTGACCCCATGCAGGGGCAGGGCCAGGCACCAAAGGCCGCTGACCCTGCATTGCATGCTAGCTCTGGGATGGGGAAAGTTGGGCAAGGCCAGAGGAAGGCTTGCAAAAAGCAGGGCCAGGAAGGTGTGAGGCAAGGCTGGGGAGACCCAGCAGACTGTATCCGAAGAGCATTGAGATCGTGGGCTGAAGTCCAGCAGGCTCCAGATTGGGGTGGATGCTGTGGCTCTAGAAATGGCCCTCAGTGGCGGGAGGCTTGGGGCTCAGGCTGTTCCACATGTGCTGGAGTTGCAGTGCCCTCAATGTGTGGCTTTGGTATCTGTGATGTAATAGACCAGGGCTAAGGCAAGAGGAGGGCTAAGGTGAGAGCATGCCCTTGGCCAGGGTGATGTTGATGACAATCACTAGAAGCTGCCGTTCATTGATCACTCATTCCGTGCCAGGTACTGTTCCAGAGGTGCTTTATGTGTTAACTCATTTAATCCTTGTAACAACCCTACAGCATAGGTACTATGATTATCTGCGTTTTCCAGGTGAGGAAACTGAGGCAGGGAGTTTGAGCGCTGTGCCTGAGGTCACACAGCCAGTAAGTGGTGGGGTCAGGATTTGAACTCAGGTAGCTCTGTAGTCTGCTGGGAGTTGAAGGGTGCAGGGGTGGGCTTCAATAAGAGCAGATGTGATGGGACCTGCAGGAGTAGCACATCCATCCTCTGCTGCACCCCTGACTCCTGCTCTCCCTGCTTCCCATGTTCCCCTGCACTCTGGGGACGCTTCCCTTGGAGGTGGCTGGTGAACAAAGCCTTTCACAGGTGCTTTCTTCTTGGCCAAGTGCATCCTTTGAAGTGGCTCTTCTGTGTCACCAGCATTTTGGAAGCCACTGCCAAGGATGTGTTGGGCATCAGGGCACCCATGACACTATGACACTATGAAGTGAGCCAAAAAGGCAGTTTATTGATTTGCAGACATCTGGCCTGGCGATCTCCGCATCCCCTCTCCTCCTCATGGGATCAGAGCAATGGGTAGAGGCAGCAAGGATGCCTGCTCAGCTGCCGGCCCTACTTGTGCACTCAAGAGAAAGAGCCACCCTCCCAGGGCTTCCCTCACACCTGCAGCTCAGAGCTGTTCCCTTGAGAGGCCCTCTCATTGGAATCAAAGGAACTCTGTGGTTCAGACCAGGCTGAAGGCAGGTGTCCCTTGAGCAACCAGCTTGGATAGTCCTGCTATGCACTGGGCATGACACTAGGAGCCTTCCGGTGGGGGACTATCTTGATGCTTTAATTCTCCCAGTAGCTCCCAAGGGGAGATATTCAGATCCCTGCTTGCTGCAAGAAGCAGGGCAGGTGTGCAGAGCCGAGAGCCTTCACACACAGGCACAGAGCGGCCAGCTTTGCAGCGCCTGCTCCTGATGCCACACACAGCCCGTGCTTTTACACCCTGCTGTCTCTTGGCGTTATGGAGAGGGGAAGAGAGAGAGAAGATGAGAAGGAAGAGAAGGTAAAGAAAGGGTAGCCATTGTGGCCGTGAGCCCTTAGTGTTTCGGGTTGAATGGGAACATGCTCACATGGAACACAGTGAAAACACCAAAGGACATCGCAGGGAAGTCTTCCTCTCACTCTGTGAGTTTCCTTGCTTGGAGGCAGTCGATTGTCCTGGCTTCTCGGGTCTCTTCTCGTGTCTACTTCCGAGGGACTGAATATTCAAGCAATTGCATCCTCACCCATTCTGTAACCAACCTCACAGCTGGGGAGGAGCTGCACAGGCCCTTCCGCACCAAACTCTTCAGTGGACAGCCTGCCCTGGGGATTGTCTCATGCCGCTACAGAAGGTGCTTCCTCATTCTTTTCTCCCATTACCCGGATGTCCTATAATTTATTTAACCAGTTGCCTACTGTGAAGCATTTAGTCTATTTCCAGTCTTCTGCCTTCGCAAACAATGCTGCAGTAACTACCTGTGCATTTATGTAGATCACTTTGTCTGAGTGAATCTGTAAGAAAAATATGCCTTGGAGATGCTGGGTCAAAAACTGAGTGTCTTTATCATTTTGGTAGCTTTGCCAAGTTGTCCTTGGCAAGGGTTGTATTCATTTTACACCCTGATCAATGACGTGTGAGGGGGAAGCAAGCCACCCTCATGACCCTTATTTTGTGTGTGTAGTGGGGGTGTTCAAAGCAGCATTTTAGGCAGATGCCACAGTTTTCTGGGGCTCCTTCCTCTTTGGGTACCTGGCTACCTCATTAGGACCCAGAGAGTTATTTTATTTTTTTATTTTTGAGACAGATTTCTGCTCTGACGCCAGGCTAGAGTACAGTGCTGCAATCATAGCTCACTGTAGCCTCTGCCTCCTGGGCTCAGGTGATCCTCCCACCTTGGCCTCCTGAGTAGCTGCAGCTACAGGCAACACAACTATGCCCAGCTATTTTTTGTGTGTATTTTTTGCAGAGATGGGGGCCTCGCCAAGTTGCCCAGACTGGTCTTGAACTCCTGGGCTGATCTGCCCTCCTTGGCCTCCCAAAATGCTGGGATTACAAGCATGAGCCGCCATGCCCAGCTGGCCCAGAGAGTTCTCCTTTGTGATTACAGACAAGAATTTAAAGACTAAAAACTCTTCGGCTTTTATTTTCAGCCTTTCTTCATATTTACTGGCATATATCCAGATTGCTGCAATTTCACATTGGAGAATGTGCCAGAAGACACCCGCAGGCTCTTGGTATCTTGTGCCATTACACCTTAGCACCTTGTCCATCTCCCCCAACAACGCGTTTCAAGGACAATTTTCCTTCTCTGCTCTGGCCAGAGCAGCTGTCAATTGTTTGGGTCAGAACAACGTGGAAAGGTCGTCCAGGTTTCCCAGAAACAGCCTCTGTCCTCGGCACTCACAGCACTGGAATCTGTGCCAGACACCCGATCCTCATCCGGGCCGCCTCTGCCTTGTCGGATGGGGCTGTTTCCTGAGTCCCATTGTTTAGCGCTGCAACGTTTTGCAGCTGTGAGGACAGAGTCGTCATTTCCAGCTTAAGAGTTTAAAGTGTATCTTGGAGAACACACTCAGTGGGACTTGGCAAGACACAAATGCTGACCCAGTGGGTACTGCCATGGGCAAGTGACTCTCACTGGCGGCAGAGTAAGTGCAGGGCCTGAAGGGGGTGAAGAAGGCTTGGAAGGAGGCTGAGAAAGAAAGATGGTTGCAACTTTTGGGAAGGGCTGGAGCTGGAGGATGCAGGGCAGTATCAGCAGGTGGCTGAGGGGACCGAAGAATGCGTTGCAAAAAGAGGCAGCTGCTGAGCAGGAACCAGGTGGTGGGAAAGCAGCGCAGGAGGTCCAGTGTGCAGGGTTACTTGGGGTCCTGGGAAAGGTCAGGGGGCACAACTTGCAGAGGGCCTTGTGATACAGGAGTTATTAGGAAATTATTTTAGGCAGAGAGTAAGGTTCTCGGCAGAAATTTTCCTGTAATAAGAAACAACCCCCAAAGCATCTCTTTTCTAACCAAAAAGGTGGCTTAAAGGGCCAGGCTGGCAAGCCTTGATATACAAATGCCGGCCCTTAGAAACTGGGTTCACTCAGCGAGGCAGAGTGGCTCACGCCTGTAACCCCAGTCTACTGTTTTTTCCTAGTTGGTGAAAATGGATTTGGGGAGCTCCAGGAGGGTAGTTTGACAGAAAAAGAACATTTCAGGCAATATCAGCATCTTAACGATCTGATTCTCTGCCAGCAAGAGGGACTTGACCAATGTAATGTGTTTTTAAAGCCCAGTAAAACGATCTTGTCTAATTTCCTGTGATTGTATTGGAGGTGAAAGAGACCTTCTCATTCTCAGTGGCCTTCAGGATCCTATTGGCTCCTTTATTTAAATGCAAGGTTGAGAATGAGCAGGGGGGCAGCTTTGGTATTTGCGTTGCTACCAATTCAGATCTGGGGTAATTAGTTTTGCCGCCTGATATTTGTGCTCAAGTAGATAGACCATTTGTGGGCGTGCTCCGAAAGGAGGCTGATGAGTGAAATCTAACACCATCTGCAAATAGGTTACTAACGTGTGACACTCCACCAGCGATTATGCCTTGTGATGTGAGGCTTGTTCTCCCAGCAGCTGTTAGTGATTCTACTGATAAAGGAATTGCAGGGAGAGATGGAAGAGAGGTGTTGCCCTTTCTTTTTCCCCTCTTTTAGCCTTTTTTGGGTGTCTGAATTCTTTATGCATTAATCACCTGCATGTTTTCCCATTGACATTTTTTCTAAGTTTTTTGTTTGTTTGTTTCTTTGGCCAATTCATGGTGGTGGTGCTAACCCAGCCGCCTTTCAAATGGAAAAGCATGCATTCATATGGAAACTGTTTGTTCTCAGCTGGGCAGCTGCTCTTGCAAATTCCACTTGATTCCTGATAGATGGGGTCTATCCAAGGTAGCCTATGTTCTCCATGGGGCACCCAAGATCGTGTCTTTGCCAAGGGTTGGGTCTGTAAGAGTATGGGTTTTGTGATCCTTGACAGTAAGAATTTTCTCTTGGCCAAAATGTCATCATCCTTCCAAAAGCTATTGGCTATGCTTT